ATTTTTTCAAAAAAAAAAAAAAAAAAAAAAAAAGGTCTGGGGATGTAACTCAGGGCGGAGGCCCTGAGTCAATCCTCAGTTATCAAAACAGACAAACAAAAACAAAAAATAACAAAAACCAAAGCTACATATTCACCGTGTGCTTGTTACAGCAGCGCTGGGCCCTTCTTCTATATATTTCTAGTCCCCCTTGTTTTGTTTTCTGAGGAAATTATCAGTAATAGTGATAGCGACACGCCAGCCTCTGTGCCAAACACTGGAGATAACATTAGCCGCACCACAGCCCCATGAGGTGGGTGGTGCCACAAGGACACTGAGGCTCAGGGAAGGCAGGGGACTCCCAGAAGCCAGCTCGTGAGGCTGAACCAGTGGGGCCTCCTCTTGCACCTGTGACACTGCCTTGATGGTTCTGTCACCCTCTGGTGCTGGCTCCCTCAGATTTTGCTATAAAGGGAGGAAGGAAGCGTGGAGCAGCAGGAGACGGAGGGAAGGCACCGCTGCAGCCAAGCCACGGGGGAGGCCCGCCGAGGGCCCAGCAGTGGAAGTGGCTTCCACTCTGCTGAAGAGAGAGCGAAGGAGGGAGTAGGGCCGGGCATGACAGTGAGGGTGTTAGAGTGAACGGGTGACCATCCCGACTCCCCCTTACTAATGAGCTCAACAGCCCTGTGCCCCAGGGGTAGAGGCCCCACGGCACTGGGGCTATGACCAAGTGCATCTATAGCACGTCTGGCAGGGTGCTGGGCTCATGCTGAGGGCAGCCAATGGGCCCGGTCCCTAGTCTTGGGAAGAGACACACACGCTCTCCAGCTCTCCCCCCCTCCGGGAACCGAAGCAGAGCCCTTTCACAGACCACGCACCTCTGCTTCCGGCAAATGGACAGGTACAAGTACAGGAAGGCCAGCACAGCCAGGTGCTCAGGGACGGCTCGGTTCTGGGGGATGCCTGCCACTTCCTTCAGCTTCTCCACTTGCTCTGTGGTGGGTGCTGGGGCGTCATCTTGCTCTGTAGAACACAAGCAAACAGAGGTGGGTAAGAGGATCTCAGGTGCTTTTATATTTATTTATTTATTTATTTATTGGTACCAGGGATCGAACTTGGGTCCTTGCACTTGAGATGCAGGTGGTGGCACCACTGAGCTAAATCGGGCCCTCGAGTGCTTTTATAAACAGAATACAAAGAAACCAAGGTACCACTGGGGTTACAATGTGGGAGGACATGAATTTATGGCCCGAGGGCCACAGCCAAATCTATCCATTGGGAGTAGGCAGACTTGGATCTGGGTCCTAACTGTGCCATTCATTGGCTGGGTGGCTTTGAGCACGTGACTTGCCCTCTCTGAGCCTCAGTTTCCCTTCTCAGTAAGATGGGATAACAATATGTCCTCACAAGGTTGCCATGAAGACAAAGTTAGGTAAGGTACGTAGAATCCTTAGCACAGCTCCTGGCACACAGTAGGCACTCAAGTAACAACAGTTTAAACACGCATGCACACACACACACACACACACACATGCCCGCACACACATGTGCACACGGAGTGCATGGTTGCTCAACCACTCAAAGGCTGGGCTTTCATCATCCACTGCACAAAAACCAAAGTCAAAGGCAGCACTACGTTATCCCCCAGACACTTCCCTCTCTCCAAAGATCATTAGCAAGGATGGAATCTCCAGTAAAAACAGTGTATGTGACGCACTGCTTGGGCAGGAGGGAAAGGTGAGACGTAGCAGGTTTTTCCCAGTGGTGTGTTGGGGCCTGGCCCTCTCTCTTCTGTGACGCTAAGGAGGCTGTGCAAGTCTGAGCAGCTCAGGTTTAGGAGCCCCCCCGACGCCCTGGGTCAGTGTCTGCAGAGACACCTGAGATGCAGCTGGTACACCTGCAGCAGCTGTACTGAGAATGGCGGGGCACCCATTTGGCCTACAGAAAATTCGAGCGGATGCATTCCGCGTACATTCAGTCCGGCCGGGCCAGTGACACCACCGAGCTCTGCGACAGTTACGGAATTGGCTTTAGGGGCCCGAGACTTGGGTCTGAATCCCTTCTGTGTCAGTCATAGGCTGTGTGGCCCGAGCCCCTGGAACGCTCAAGTCTCGATTTTCATATCCGTAAACGGGGTAACACCACCTACTTCCAGGGAAAGCTGGAGAAACTATGAGGGTGCTAACATGTGACCCGACTTTCCTGCAGTGCCTGGAGCCAAAAGATGCCAACAATGGCTCACTATTGGGAGCGAACCGAAGACGCTGAAAGAAGGCTGGCAGATTCTTGGAACCTAGCAGACAGCAGGTCTCAAAAGGCTTGATTTCCTTTTGTCTCCTACATGAAGGAGATGAACAAACCCTTCCCTGCGTAGTGCACTTGGTGTCTCAGCCCTGACTCCCCACATCCAGTCCTGCCGGATCTGGAGAGCAACAGTTAGGCAACACGAGCCTGCTCACTGTGGCCCAGAGGGAGAAGTAACCTGCCCAGGCTCACCTGGGCAGTCAGAAGTCTCAGAAAGGCTCATGCTAGTGACCTATACGAGTAGCAGCTGGTTCTCAGGAACACCACAGAAAGCAGGTCCCAGGTGCTCTGGCTGGCCACTCTCCGAAACATGCTCTAAAGACTCTTAAATAAAGGGTGTCCCTGGAAAAACCTAGGTAACCCATGGTCAGGATCACACACCCAGCTCTGCCAGTTCTGCCAGTTCTGCCAGTTCTCCACAGCAAAGGGCCAGGGCCAGGAATTCTGCAGCAGTAAAACAACTGTAAAATCCCCAAGGGATTCCCAGGCATGTGTGACAGACAGATTGAAAGATGCTGTTTGCTTTATTTTGTCTTTTTGTGGTTCTAGGATTGAACCTAGCACCCTACCACCGAGCTATATCACCACTCTGAGATTTTCAATGCTTTCTCCATCTCCAATGGCAGCACCTGCGGCTCCCCACCCAGACCAGGAAGCAGGTGACCCCGTTTGGGTGCAGTTTGGAAGAAACTCCTACAGGGTTCTTGCTGAGAAACACTGTTGCCAACATGGAGATGTCAGTCCCAACAGGAGACTGCAGACTGAGAACAGAGACCAACTCCAGCTCCCGGGCTGAGGGAGACAGTAAATCTGCTTACCACCAGTGGCAGCAGCCTAGCCCACACCTCTGACGCAGCACAGCAGCTCAGACTCACTGGCACAGAAAGAAAATCTGATGCACTGCAGCCAAAACAGCTACCCATCTCTGAATGGATGATGTGGCCGGACCCAATTCGGGTTCAAACAAACAAACACAAGATATCACTCTATCTCAATTAATCTAACCATCCATTTAAGAAAACAATCCAGAAAGATTAATACCAAAATGCTTAGGGTCATATTGGAGAGGAGAGAAGCAGCAACCAGTGATTGTCTTGTCAGGTCCCAGTACTGACTGTACTCCCCAGTAACCGTTCTAAGTTACCCTGAAGAATTATTATTATTGTACCGGGAATGGAGCCCAAGGCTTTACCCAGGCTAAGTACACACTCCACACTACGTTACACCCCCAGCCCTATTTATAATAATGTTTAGTCACACAAGACTCCGATGTTATTCATTCTCTTTGTCAAAAGCCAACATTGCGGAAGGTAGGCTCTCTATCCATTCCCTCGCCCCAGCACTTTCCCAGAGGAATTGATTGCCACTGTCACTCTGACATCTACTCCCTAGACCTTCTCTGCCCTTTTACACACTGATTTATACATAAGTATGTGTATGCTGTTTTACATCTTGTGTGTTTTCTCTTAACAGTAAGATTCGAAGATGTGTCTGAAACAGTCCATCCACAGAGATCTTATACACAGTTTTATACTTCTAAATTAAACATCATACTCTATGAATGAAGCTAATTTTATGGGGACACGATAGAAAACACCCCTGGAGTGGCTGACTTCTGGGTCCCTCGGGGACAGCCTGGAATAACTATTCAGTTGCTCTCTCTCCCTGTCTTCAGGACTCAAACTCTAACCACACGTGGTTTTTCCTCCTGGCACTTACCCAGAAAGCTTGTGTCCAACAGCTGAAGGCTGTTCACATCCCAGGTCTGCTTGGTACCAATGTTCGGTAAGTTTAGGGTGACTTTCCCATTGCTGTGGGGTTGAAGCCTGAGGAATGTTCTCAAATTCAAGGCTACCGCCAGTGCTACCTACAGAATAAAGGAGAAAAGCAGTAAGCTGGGAGCAGGGGGGTCCAGGGGGCCTATTCAATGTGCTGAGAAGTGAGGATAAACAGAGGCACACTCACCACTCCTACCCCTGGCCTTAGCAGACATTGGTAATGGACTCTGGCATACAATCCCACTGGGCACAGCTGCTACTACTCAGTTAGGAGTTGTATCTATCTACCTATAGCTGCCTTCTCTCAAGGGAAGCTTCAGAACCTCTCAACACCAAAGAATTGCTTCCCCATTTTCAAAGAGAAATATGTTTAAAGTATAAACTGGAAAAAAAAATATATATATATAAATTAAAGACAAATAATAGTAGTTGAAGTGAAGGAGCAAAAAAAAGCATGAGCTTTGGGTTTGCTATGGTTTCTGCCAAGGTGTGGGGAGCCTGGTCAAGTTGACCGACTGTTTCCTAAGCTTCAACTTTCACATCTGTAAAACAGGATATGAGAATGTACCTCTGGGGAAGTGGTAAGAATTAAATGAGATTACACGTGTTCCCAACCTTTTCGCGTGATCGTTTTTCCAACTTCTAAACACTGGAGTGCCCAAAGCTCAGTTCTCAAACTTCTTTTTCTTGCCACCAAAGCTCATTCCCTAGGTGATTTCATGCCACCCGTAGGGCTTTTTGCGTCATCTTTTTGCCACCTTACTGAGTGAAGTTAGGGAACTTCTCTAGCAGGCTAAGATCTGTCATTTCCTTGCCTGGCTGGGGAGCAGGAGGACCCCTCTCTGATCTGCTCCCAGGCTATGCTTGTCTCTAGACTTCCTTCTTATCTTCTTGCAAGATTGGTACCCGGGAGAAATGGGACCCAGTTCTTCAAAGCTCTGGGAGCTTTTTACCTTGCCATGGACCACAGCGTGTTCTCCGTGGAGGATGACTTTTCCTGGAGCGGACACTACCAGGACTCCCGACAACATGGCTCCGGGGAATCCTAAAAGGGAGACAAGAACAAAGGTCCCTAGATGTCAGCCCCAGAAGGAAGAGATACTGGAGGAAGCCTACTTCAAACTTGTCATTGTAACAACAAAAAGCCATGTGTGGTGGCGCACATGTGATCCCAGCTCTTGGGAGGCTTGAGGCAGACAGACTGTGTTCAAGACCACCCTCAACTACATAATGAAACCCCATCTCAACAACAACAGCAACCAATAGCAGCTACCATTCAAAGCTAGCTGTATACCAGAAAGCGGTACAGTATGCCAGTTATCTGGGCAAACAAGAAAGATCTGGGTTCAAATCCTAGCTCTTTCACCCTCCAGTGATGTCATCTTAGCTATGAACCTAGGTTCCCCCACACATTACGTAGGGACAATAATGGAACCAACTTCACCGGCCTGTTAGGAAGGTTAAATTAATGCAAGAGGAACTGTTAGCAGTGCCTGGCACACTAATCACCCGATTACTGGATAGTTACTTACTACTAGCTCTGTTCTTGGCTTCAGCTCTTATTACTACCACTACTGAAGGTTAAAATTTACATGAGAGCTGGGGGTTTGGCTCAGTGATGGCGCACTTGCCTAGCATGAGCAAGGCTCTGTTTTTGATTCCTGCAACGCAGAGTCAGAAGAGACAGAGGCTGGGGGACAAAAAGAAGGGGAGAGAAGAGAGACAGACAGAGATTTATAAGGACCAGAAAGAACTCTTTCCTGGACATTGAGGCTGCTTCCTATGTATCACAATTATAAACAAGGCTGCAGAAAACACCTGTTAGGCCCCATTCTGTGCACTTAAGCGACGATTAAGCGAGCAAGACAGAATCCTAGGAAGTGGCTTGACGGTTGTACAACTGAGAGAAGCTGAGAGCCTGGCTGGGGGTCGTCCTAGGTCTCAGATATCGCTCCACCCGGCCGCGCGACCCCAGCCTCTCACCTGTCGCAGCCACAGTCTTTCCGCACCAGAGCCGGAGCCGCTCCGGTATTTCTCCATCCCCAAGCGCCAGCCCGGAGGAGGAGGAGGCCTCTTTTTTCCGTCCAGCCAATCAGAGCGCGCAAGCGCAATACCTCTACCAGTTGGCTTGAGCATTGGTCAATAGGTACCGTAGCCAAACCTGCAAGGATTTTTCCCGCCCCAGCCCTCCTGTGAGCCAATGGAAAACAAGCCCCTGGGAGTGTCCCGCCCTGGTGCGAGAGCCACGGACCAATGGGAAATGGCGATTCAGAGGTGGCGCGGCCGGCTATGGGTGGAGTCACTCGTCCAGACGGTAGCCTGGAGAAGTCATCCTGCGACTAGGCGCCGCTTGCTCATGGCTGTGTGGGCTGTGGGAGGCCTCCTTGGCCTCCGTGGATGCTTTGGCACCTATAGGGTGCTTTGTTCCCGTTTCCAGGGCCGCGGCTCTCAGAAGGTAGAAGGGGAGGACAGGTGAGTGGCTGGGAGAGTAACTCGAACGCCCGCCGTGAATCACGTGGTATTGTCGCCAGTGTACGTCATCCTGGGGACGTTCCCTAAGTCCTGCCGTCACCATGGGCAACGTGGAAGCAAGAGACCGGGTTTACTTTGCCCAGGCCTAAGGAAGACCAGCTTTCATCAGTCAGGGCAGGGTATACGTAACCCCAAGTAGGCCAGGAGGAACATCATTCAGAATTTGACCAGAGTAGTTTGTTCTCAAATACATTGAGACACAAATATGATCTAAACATGGTTTTACTTTGAAACTTGCACCCTCAGATTCCCAGAACTCAGAACCTGTAGAGTACAGTGAGTTAATAATGGTTAATATAGTTGATAGATCCGGTGATTTAAACTTTGAATGACTTTGGGAAATCACCTTTTAAATCTGACCTGTGTATTTAAGTTATATATCCCCAAGATTTATACTAGATTATGCTAGAGTGTAGTTCCGTGGTAGAGCATTTGCCTCGCATGTACAAAGGCCTGAGTTCGAACCCCAGCCTCTCCAAAAATTAAAAATTAAAAAAAGAAAACAAACAACCCTGCCAATTTTCAAACCTTGTTTTGGCAGTTCTTCATTTCTGACTGTACTTGAAGCCCTAGAGGATGAAAGTGGCCCAGTTTTCTTTCCCTTCGGAAGCCTTGATTTGGTAGTTAAAGGCAGAAGTATTGGGAGAGTAGAAGTAACATTTGGGGTACTGGTGTAGGGTAGTCTTGGGCATGAACTTCAGCTCTGCCTCTTCCCTCCTGGGTGCCAGGAAGATGAGCCTTACTCTGTGAGTAAAATGAAGGTAATAAGTGGTGCTTATCTTTGGGGTTGTGGAAAGATTCCAGAGATACTTCCAGGAGACGCCTGTAATCACTACAGTGCAGGAGCTATTAGAAGTGATCAATCAATTCAGTAAATGTTTATTGACTGGCTACCTTGAGCAAGTGTACTGTACACAGAGCTTGCCCACAAAAGGCTTGCAGCCAGAGGAGATGGCAAAGGTATCAGTAAGAGAGGGCCATCCTAGTAGGGGGTAAGTGCTGCCACTGAGTTGCTGACAGCAAGCTGGGACCCACGGATGAAGGTGTGCCTCTGTGTGAGTCATCCCCACTTACCAGCTCTTCCTGTCTGTTTCTCATTAGGATACAGCTTTCCTCAGAGACACCCAAGATTCCCAAGATTTATACCAAAACAGGAGACAAAGGTAAGGCAGGGACATGGAGAAAAAGACATATGACTGATAGCACTTTCAGATCTTCCAACTTCTCTTTAGCCAACAAAAAGTATGTGACAGATCTCAATGTACATCACAAAAATGTGATGTAAAATGAAAAATGCCCCAGGTATAGGAAATGGTGAAAACAAATTGCAGAGCTCGGCTATCTATAATCCTAGCACGCTGGGAGGCTGAGGCAGAAGGATTGCAAATTCAAGCCCAGCCTGAACAACTTGGGGACTTAGTGAGATACCGTCTCTAGAAAATAAAAAAGGAGTCAGGTGTGTTAGTACACACCTATGATCCTAGTACTCTAGGAGGCTGAGGTAGGAGGGTTGTAAGTTCAAGCCTATCCTGGCCAATTTGATGACTTAGTGTGATCCTGTCTCAATATAAAAAAATTAAAATAAAAATTTTAAAGAAGCTAGAGAGATAACTCAGTTAAAAGGCCCGGGGTTCAGTCTCCAGTACTGTAAGTAAAAGGGGGTGGCACTGAGGATATTGCTCAGTGTAAAGGTCCTAGGTTCAGTCCCTAATGTCACACACGTGTGTACACACACACGCAATGTGGGGTGAGAGTGTGGTTCAGTGATAGAGTGCTCATAACAACAACAAAAAACAAGTTTCATAATAATCCAAATACCCAAGTCCACCTAGAAAAGGAGTGGTTTGGATGTAAATTCAACACGACTGGAAGATTACACTTTTTACACCTTGCACTGTTTCCCAGTAGAACTGAGTTGTGGGAGAGAAAAATGAACAGAAATTTATACACTTCCATTTTTTTTACAATAAGCACATATTATTTTGATAATTTTAAAAAAATACCAGAGTGTTGTACAGAAAACAGATGCAGGGCCAGGGATTTAGCTCAGTGGTTCCGCTGCCTGCCTCTCAAGCACAGGGTCCTGAGTTAGATCCCAGTACCAAAAAAAAAACAACAATAACAACAAAAAAACAGATGCAGAGGAATATATTAGTAATCAACATGATACCATTTTCTTTTCTTTTGTAGTAGTAGGAATTGAACCCAGGGCCTTGAATGTAATAGGCAAGCACTCTACCACTGAGCTACATCCCTAGCCCTTTTATTTTATTTTCAGATGGAGTTACACTAAGTTGCCCTTGAATTTAAATCCTTCTGTCCTAGTGGCTGGGTTTACAGGCACGCACGCATGACCATGCCTGGCTTTAGTATGATACCACATTCTAAAGTTTAAGATCATGCAGGTCACTCTACTAGCTATTGCTTTGTAGATGCATACTTATATAGTAAAGATGGAAACCTATGCATAGGGTGTACTTAATGGCGCCGAGTTGTATACTGAAAAAATACCAAAATGGTAAATGTTACACTTTTTATATGTTACCATAACAACAATAAAAAGAAAACAAGGGTAGGAATGACGAACATGAGGCAGTGGTGTCAGTGCCCTCCAGCTGGAGACCTCTAGGGACAATCTCTAGGCAAACACAGTGCAGAGAGGTGGCTCATTAGGAGGGAGGAGATAGCCCAGCTGGGCACTGTCGGAGCCCTGGTCAGGTGCCGTGGAGGGCTCACTCAGGGACTGGGCTTGTGTTGCTGGTCTGGGGGTAGATTTGAGAAGTGGGTCTCTGCTGTGGATTGGACACCATTGGGAAGCGGGGCTAATTCTATAAATGACTTCAATTTTTTTTCTAAGGTGGGAGAGAAAAAAGGTGCTAAAGCTCTGATAGTGAAAAATGCCACAGTCCGTCACATTGCCTGGGGAAGGGGGCACCTTGGCATTTTTGTCATTTCGACAATGTTTTGTGCTCAGATGTGATTACACGGGGACCTTGTTTCGTTTCGGTCCTGATCTGTCGCAGTCACAGAGTGGCCTGTCTGATGGTATTCTGTGAAATCATTTACCTAGCAGAACACCACGGCCTGCCTGTGAACGCCAGGCCAGCGTGGCAGCACCCAAGCTGTAGTGCCAGGCAGCAGCTGTCACCTAGGCACAGGTGTGTAGAGGACTCTAACCGCGTGAAACATGGTAATAACGTATATGTGATGTGACAGATGTTTTGTTTCTTTAGCAGAATGGTCGTTGTGTGATTTTTAAGTCAACTAAAAACATACCAGGGAAGAAATAAGGATAGTGGTTACCCTTAGGGGTGGTGACTAAAAGGGGGTACATGGGGGTTTCTGGGGTGCTGGTCAGTTTCTAGTCTGGAGCCGGGTTCTGATCACAGAGGTCTGCTCAGTGGCAGTTCATGAGCTGTATGCCTCAGATATCAGCACTTTATCCCTGCTGTATTTGACATTGAAAGTTATTTAAAAAGAAAGAACAGTGTGAAAGAACAGTCTAATTTCAGGGAGCTGAATGTTTTTCCACAGGGTTTTCTAGCACCTTCACAGGAGAAAGGAGGCTCAAAGATGACCAGGTGTTTGAAGCTTTGGGAACTACAGATGAATTAAGTTCCGCTATTGGGTAAGAGGGATGGGATCAGCCTTAAGTGCGAACCGGGCATCAGAGAGTATCGTTACTGCGAAACTCTCAGTCACACATGGCCATCCTGGACCTTGTCCACCTTCGAACCCCCCCCCAGCATGGCTGGTGAGCTCCATGAGGCCGCCAGGCTGCGGGTGCCTCTCCCCTGTGCCTCTGCCTGCGCCTAGGCCAGTGTCTGTCCCTTCCCTGCCATCTGCAGCTGCCTCCTCCTCCATCCCTGGTCCCCTAACTTTTCAGGAGAGTTGGCTGTATCTCTGCTTCACGGAACTGGACTGGCATCGAGGAAGAGGGAAAGAGGTCCCGGGGAAGCTCTCACCGGCTCTCCAAGCTTCCCAGGGCGTGGCACATCGGGTTTACACTCCACAGGCCAGAGCCAGTCTTGTGGCCATGCCTGGCGTCAGTAGAGGGGAGAGACGCACATACTGAGACCCAGAGTGATCACAGAAATACTGTCCATCTCTCTATGTTCTAGTGAGACTTAAATGAGATAATTCCGTCTTGTCCCCCAGCACAGTGCCTAGCACAAGTAATAACACTGTTACCGTAGATTTTCAGGGCCAGTGATGGCAGGAGTAGATAGTCTTCCAGCACAGTAGAGAGGCCCAGGCCCTGGGGCGTGGGGGAGCGTTCAAGAGGAAGTGGGCAGAGGAGGGAAGATGAGTTCCAGCCTCGGCCATGCAGAATTACCAGAGCAGTGAGCCAGCATCTCCCAGCTCATGTGGAGCAGGAGGTGGGCCTGGAGCCTCACTGATGGATCCTCCCTCTGTCAGGCCCTGACTGAGCACCTCTGTGTGCCAAGCTCTGCGAAACCCAGCCTCAGCCCTGCCTTCAGGGGGCCAAAGACAGACCCGCCCCAGACCATCCTTCAGCGAGCAGGTACCCTTAACACCTGCTGGGTACCAGGCACTGGGCACCCTGCTGTACAAAGCCAGTGTCCCAACCCACACAGCCCCCTCACTCTCCAGAGGGTAGATGAGCGCTAGACCACCAGCCCTGTGTTTGCTTTTGTCCTTCTGATCACAGGCTGGGCTAGGAAGATACCCTCCTTATTCTTCATTTGCTTCTCTCGGTGGCTTTTCCCATTGCTGAATCTAAGTACTGACACCCAGAGTTAAAGGAGGAAAGGTTTACTTAGCTCACAGTTTGTAGGGATTTTAGTCCGTAGTCGGGTGGCTGCAGGGCCGAGCAGCATCCAGACAGGCATCATAGAGGAGAAACAGCCATGGCACGGCAGGCGGGAAGCAGCAGCAGCGAGCCTCCTTTTCCCTTTTATCCCAGCCAGGGTGCAAGCCCACAACCAGGGTGAGCCTTCCCATTACCCACACCCAGAACTGTGCTAAACCAACCAGCAGACCAAGTTAGTCCCACACAGCTTGAATCTCAGCACCGCACACAGCCTGCCCCCCAAAGCCCCACCTACAAACACATGAGGCACAGGGCTGGGGATGTAGCTCAGTGGTTCCGCCGCCAGCCTTGCAAGCGCAAGGTCCTGAGTTCCATCCCCAGTACCTAAAAAACACACACACACACATGAGGCTCCGGGGTACATCTGGATACAAGCCTTCTCATTCCATCACGTCTGTTTCCCACCCCCCTCTGCTTCTCTGTGCCTGGGCGGCTGACCTGGTCACCTGGAGACCATGGCACTTTGATTCCTGGTCCGCTGGCTCTTAGGGGCTCCAGTCAGTGGCAGGCAGCTGCAGGGGTTGGAGAGTAGAAAGAGGTGTGGGAGCTCATGACCCTATCCCCAGCTTCCTGGCCCTTCAGCCCTCATCAGCTCCGTGTTGTGTGGTTCCTGTTGTGACCCCCAGGCCAGCACTGTCCAGACTCAGTAGCACCTTCTCGTCACTTGCCCCTTTGCCCCCTGCTCTCACTGGTCGCTGCCATCTGTAATCAGTTTCCCTAATCTGCTCACACCTCTGGGAATTGTCCCTTTGTAGAGTTCCCCTCTGAGAATCTAATCTAGGGCACCAGTTTCCTGCCAGACTCCTGCAGGCATAGGAAGAGCACAAAGTTCCTGCCTCATCCTACCTTACCAGGGAACTCCTACTCGGTCTTCAAAGCCCTACCTTCAGCATGCTTCCCCAAGGAAGTCTTCCCTGCTCCCTAGCCGAGGCCAGGTTAGATTTCCCTCACTCTGTCCTTCAGAGAGTACTTACCTCAGTTTGCAGCTTCCCAGTCAGCAAAGTGCTACTCAACTTGAATGTCCCCTTCCAGCTGGATGAAACCCGCGTCATCTTCTGAACCCACTGTATCACCAGGAACCAGACGGGAGGCACCTAAAAGAATCATTGACTGGGAGTAATGCATATACGAAAAGGCATTTTGAGAAACAAGTGGAAGCTTGTTGAAGCAAGAAAAATAGCACCATGCTATTGTAACTAAATTAGCTAAATGCCTAACTGCCTGAGAATGTGTTGTCTTACAGCAGCATTGTGCTAGAGGCAAATTCTTTTTCCTTTTTCCTCTTAGGTTTGCTATGGAATTGATCACAGAAAAGGGCCACACGTTTGCTGAGGAGCTTCAGAAAGTAAGTACCTTCCTCTCTCCCCGAGATGGCATTTTCGTCTCAGCAGCCTGGTGGCCGTAACTCGATTCATCGCCTGACCATCACTTCTGTGTGTCATCCAGGGCTAGACACTTCCTCAGCAGGCCTCAGTCTCCACCTGTCAAGTGGGGGCGTGCAGAGCTCATCCTCCCTCAGGGTGCGGGGTGAGGATCACGCTGAGGAAGAGGGGTACACAGTGAAGCAATTCCCAGCCTCAGCTGGTGTGCCCTGCAGGGGACACCTGGGCAGCCGTTTGGGATGACGCTTTGGCTTGTCACATCTGGAGTGGGACTGCTGCTAGCGTCTGCTGGTACAGACCAGGAGTGCCGCGCATTCTCCAGTGTATAGGACAACCACGCCCAATGCCCAAAGGACCATGGCGCCCAGGCTGAGCAGCCCTGCCGCGAGTTCAGCCACAGGGCTCACGCTCCTAGTGCCACTGTTGTGTCCCTTACAGTGGAGCCGGGCCTCTGACCCCCAGAGAGCAGGGATGACTTCCCAGAGCACTTTGGGGTGTGCCCAAGGCTTCTACTCCCAGCCTCTCCGTGCATCACGGGCCTTACAGTAAGGTGGAGCTGTCACATTCAGTCCCGCGGCCCAGCACCTGGAAAGCAGGGCCCAGGTACGTGGCCACTGGGAGTCAGAGTCAGGAAGGTGCCTGCTGATCCCCTGGGGCCCCCAGTGCTCACGGCACCTCTGCCCACGGAACCTTGGCGTTCTGCCTGGCCGGCACAGTTGGCCTTTCTTTTTGCCTCTTGCCTCCCCAGATCCAGTGCATGTTGCAGGACGTCGGCTCGGCCCTGGCCACTCCGCGCTCCTCTGCCAGGGAGGCTCACCTAAGTAATTCCCTGAACTGTGTGGATAGTCAGAGGGCCCTGTGGGGTCTTATTCCTGGGGTTCCCTACCAGAAGCCCATCCCTGAGGCCCATCAGTAGGTCTGGCCGCCTTGCCCATTGTCACTGGAGGGCCGGCACTCTGGGTGGAGGAAGCCATCTGAGAGACCCTGGGTGGAAGGGATGTGGTGCATGTCCTTGATGGTCTGGTGATTGAGGCTTCATGGTTCTGCTCTGTGACTCCTCAGAACGTACAGCCTTCGAGGTGGGGCCCACCCTGCAGCTGGAGCAGTGGATCGACAACCACTCCAGGCACCTCCCGCCCCTCACAGCCTTCATTCTGCCTGTAGGTATCACCGCCTCACCCTGGGGGTAGCTGCGGCCAAGCACATGGACGAAAAGGCATGGGCTTGCAATAAGTGCCCCTCCTTACAGCTCTTACCAGTGACAAGCTGTCCGCCAGGCCCTCTAGGTCCTCCAGGCCCTCACTTCCCCCTCCCTGCCCACTTTGGACGCAGATAGCCCGGTGGGTGTGCCGAGCAGGGCCCTGGCGGCAGAACATGGCCAGGGGAGCGGGCGGACCTGGAGGTCGGGAGAACCCTGCCGCGGCGCCCACGCTGACCAGCCCTGTTCAGCCAACACTGCTTTCTCCTTCCAGTCCGGAGGCAAGAGCAGCTGTGCACTACACTTCTGTCGTGCCGTGTGCCGCCGAGCTGAGAGACGGTAAGGGCACAGGTGGTGGCTCAGGCCTGCAGCACCCAGAGCTTCCCCAGGCACCTCCCTGTGCCAGAGTGGCCAGCACAGACAAGTCCCTGTCCTCAGAGCCCCACATTGCAGAGGGGAGGCAGTCATAGAGCAGCAGGAAGCCAGTAATGGGTCCTGGGCCACCTTGCTGCGGGGGAGAAGGGTCTGGTGGGGCTGCATGGCTGTGGGGGCCCTAGGTGGAGGCTGTCAACGGCCCGGCCACCTGCTTCCCCAGCCCCACTCCGGCTGAGTACTGAGAAGGGAAGGGACGAGCGATACCCGCGCCTAACTCAGTCTACTCGCAGCCTTTTCAAGGAAAACTTAACAGGAACTTGAGAAGACTCATTCATACCACCATGTGGCTGGCTGCCACCGGCCTAGAGGGGAGATAGAGCCCTACCTGGCTCTACAAAAGCCAGGCTGTGCCAGGCATTCCATTTTCACTGTCTTACTGAGCTGAGTTGGGAATCCTAGGAGAGGTGGCAGCCTCCCTCTACAGGAGTTGGGAAATGGCCAAGCTCAAAGGCAAAGTGCAGATCTGGGCTCCGGTTTATCTGGGTCAGACCCTGAACTCTCCATGGCCCCACATCACCCAGGTTTTATCTTACATGAAAGGCTCTCAGGTCAAACAGATCCCGAGGATCCCTGAGTAACAGAAAACACTTTGGCTTCAAAGCAAAAAATGTCATTTGTACAAAGCCGTCCGTGTCAGCCGTGCTCATAATAGCAAAAGCTTGGAAACAGCCCAGAGGCCCAGAAAGCGGGCAGCCAAACTGACGGGGGCCTCAGAGAGCCACCAGGCCACGGCTGAGTGATGACCAGCGGGCGTACTGCCGGGGGAGAGGCGTACAAGCTGCCCCGGGTAGCAAAGCTCCAGGCACATTGGAGGTCCCGCGGGGTAGGCCAGTGCCACTTCCTGCCCGGGGCACTAGCCAGCTGTGTGGCCTCGCACAGACAAGGACCCCAGAGCTAGGTGTGCAGACAGTGCCTCCCAGCACAGGAGATGCAGCAGCTACGATGCGCTGTGCCTGAAGGGCCCAGCAAGACCCTGCCGCACCGTAGCACCCCCAGACCCCTGTCCCACACGGTCGGAGATGCCTGCAGACTGACGGGCACCCGGGGACACAGGCCTGAGTGGAGGGAGTGGGAGTGGATTGGCACAGGAAGGGCAGCTTCCTCCATCTCCGGAAGCTGGAGCCTGACCATTCCAGCCCATCCCAGTGGGACAAAGGCCAGCAGGCTGGGATGTGGGGCAGCCCACGCCCCCTTCCCTGTTCTCCATTCCCTCTTGCCCACAAATGGAAGCCTGGAGCTGTGGATTTTCCATCTCTGGTGCTGGCTGGGCTTGTCCGGATGGAGGTCACATGATGGCCCGTGGAGAAATGCTGGTCCAGGGCCCAGGTGCCCAAGTGTGCTGACCGTCGCCACATGGCGTGGCTGTGTGCTTCCTTTCCTCTTTCCAGTGTGGTGCCTCTGGTCCAGATGGGAGAGACGGATGCAAATGTGGCCAAGTTCTTAAACAGGTACTTACTCGGCACGTGAGAGTCCCTCTGAAAGAGCGGGCACATCTGTGGGCAGAACTGCAGGCAGCAGGACTGGGGAGCGCCACTGGCCTCGCCCAGTTTCTCCTGCATGTGGGTCTAGGTGTGTCTGCCGTGTGCCGTGAGGCAGACACTGTCGCTGTCTCTGATGAGGTTAGGATTGACTTGGGAGACTGCTGTAAAAGCAGACCTAAGTACAAAGGAACAGACCTAAGTACAAAGGAACAGGTCAGCCCTCAGGTCTCACGAAAGCTGGCCACAAGTGCCATCCACCGATCCTAGCTGGCCGGACACCATGTCCCTGCGCAGATGCTGTGGCTTTATACTTCCCCCTCGGAAGCTCATAGATAGGACCTGGCTAGCAGTGGTCTTTGATTCAAACCCTTGCTTCTGCTTCTCTGCCCTACCAGACTCAGTGACTATCTCTTCACAGTAGCCAGATACATGGCTATGAAGGAAGGAAATGAAGAAAAAATATACAAGAAAATGACCCATCAGATGGAGCCTGAGGCCCCTGGAGATAATGGGAGGGTAGCTTCCTAGGCCCCTCTGTGGTGACACAGAAGAGTTTGCCTTCCTCCTGGGGTCCTGGTTCCTGAAGCGCTCACCTGAGGGGCTGGAAGTGGGTCTGAGATGCAGATTCAGCTTTGCCTCACACCCCCTGCTACTTCCCTTGAGGGACTGGGGCCCTTGAGACTTTTGTCCCCACCTCCCCAGGCTGGCCTTCATCTTGGAGGAAATGGAAATAATTTCAGGATTGCAGAAAAGAAAGGTAAAGTGATGACTGTGAAGTAAAGGAACCAGATGGAAAAAAGAATAAGGGCTTGAGCTGTGTGTGTGTGTGTGTGTGTGTGTGTGTGTGTGTGTGTGTGTGAGAGAGAGAGAGAGAGAGAGAGAGAGATTGAGAGAGAGAGACAAACTCATGAGTGAATCCTCCTGCTGCCGACTAAGGTTGTTCAAGGATTTGGAATGGTACCAGCGGCCCTTGGAAATGTAATTGTGATTTACCTGTGCCAAAGGGGCTGTAAACGTCACATTTATAAAGGGAAGGGAGGCAGGATTTGGAAGTTTAGTCACCTCGGAGCTACCCATCACCGCTGTAGTGTGGGGCAGGGCAGCTGCTGACTGACAGACGAGGCCTCAGAAGCTCGACAGAGTACGGCGGGGCTGCGGCTTGGAGAGTTCTCACTAATGGGGGACAGGGCCCTGGGTAGAGCAATGCCATCGCTTAAGGCTGACCCTTCCCGCCTAGTCTGAGTGAGTGGCAGGTGCAGGGTAGAGCGGGTCCGGCTTAAGGAAATGGGATCTTCTGCTTCCAGTAAGGTGACAGCGTGAGACTTCTCTGGTGCTGCACTGGCTGGTTTCTGCCTCCGAGACCTGTGTCGTGGCTGTGTTTTATTCCACTTGTCACCACTGCTCCCTCCGGCTATGTAATGACACTGCCGGTGCCAGCTGTGTCCTTGGCAGAGGGATATTTATGAAGGGCAGAGAGGTAGCCCTGAGGATCTAAGGACACCATGCTGCTAATTGCAGGAAGTGGCTTCGGAAGGGCGGGCTCTTTTCTACCATCAGGGCTAGAACGCCTGGTGGACTCCATTGAGCAATCGTTCATTTATCAAGTGCTTGTCTAGCAGGGGCTCCACGCCAAGCACGGACAGGCTGGTCGTTCCATCGCCTTCCTCGCTGGCAAGTTGGCAAATGTTAAATTCTCAGCTGTGTGGGTACTTTTGCAGGCAAGGCCAATACATTCTTGTCTTCTGGGTTCTTTGGAGCAGGCAGGCCGCAGTAGCCCCGTTGAGCCCTGGGCAGGGTGGTAGGTCCCGGTGCCCAGCAGTGAGGAGTACCCTCCAGGCCCAGCGCCATTCCAGCTCCGTTCATTAGACCCAGGCCTGGCACAGGGTAGGGCGCTTTGTGTGTGCAGGCAGGGTGGGCAACGGGAAACGCATCCTCCGGTGCTTCCCAGCCGGGACGCAGATGTTCCAGGAGCTCTCAGCAATCGCTCATTTCTTCCCACGTCTCCAAATCTTCCTAGAAAGGACAGAAAGTAGGCAATAAAACAACAGCCCTGTACTCCTAGCCATGGCAAAAAGACAGAGAAACACTCTGAGTGCACACACTGTCCCAAAGCGATCTTTGAAACAAGGCAGTTCGCCAGTTGCCAAAGTCCATCCCTCATGGAGCAGCTGGATGTTGACGTCCAGGTTCCCAGGCCCACCCTCTGGATCCACCTTCGCCTCGGCCAGAAAATGGCTCCCAGTGGGCCACCCAGGTGCAGGACAGACGTTTGTGCCGCCAGCCTGGGAAGCGCAGGAGGCTCCCTGGACACAGGCCGGGTTGTGTGAAGCACTTGCCCTCTGAAGCCGCGGTAGAGTCCCGGGCAGAAGGAAGAACGGTGCACCTGGAGACACAGATCCAAGTGGGAAAAGTTAGTGGAAGCCCCACAGTCAAAACCCACAACTAAATCCCGCGTTGCCCAAGCAGTCTGTATACCGCTCACAACCAGTGGTTCCCTCCGTGCAGTGACGCTGGTGAAACCGACATACATTTAAAATCCTGGCAACTGCTCTATCATAGGCTTTTGTTTTTTGGCAACGTTTGAAAATATTGCGTGTTAAACCCCTTATCTTGATTACTGCATTTTTTGACGCTCCCGTATTTGTTTGCTGCGATGGTAACTCCCTGTGCTGTTCAGGCTGGCACTGAACTTTCCAATCCTCCTGCCTTAGCCTTCCAAGGAGCTGTGGCTCCAGACAAGGACCATCGCACCCATACTTTCCACACTCAAGAAAGCCTTAGCATCACTACTACAGTAGTGCCGGGCACGCTGCAGGGGGCGTCCCTGTGTCACACGGTCCACACGCGTGGTCTCGTGAACCTCACACAGCAGCCCTGGAGGGAAGCGCTCTCCCTGCTTTGCTGGTGGGGAAACAGGCCCGGAGAGCTGGCCTAAGACACAGTGCTCCTAACTCCGTCCCCACTGCTGCTTGACAGTCGTTAATCACTACCTGCGCCGCAGTGAATAATGCCAAGCACTAATAGATCCCGCTGTCACATTCCTCAACCTGGTTTCCCTTAACTGGGATTTCATGGCTCTTGTTAATGTGCATTCTTCACTGAGTAATTTCCGCAGCCCGAACTTGTAACACATCCCAATGACAAACGTCCCCAGCTCCGAATCCCCCATCAGCTGCAATGTCACCCTCGCCTCCTCCCTGACTCCTTCCGACAACAGCCCATCCAGTTTTATGATCACTTTGTCCCAGGGATCACTACTGAACCTTTAAGAATCCAGGCGCATTTCAAGTTTAATTGAATAAAATTCCTTGTATAATAAATTCTGCATGAATGCTACATAAATCAGCGCCTGGAAGGATTTGTGGCTCATCCTTCCCCCACTAGACAGGGCTGGAGAGCTTCACTGGCAGTGCTGAGCCCAAGCTGGTCCTGTCTCGATTGCCGAGAGGGCTAAATTCACCTTTGCAATCTGCTTGAGGTCTGGTTGTCGCTGGCCCTGGCCCGTGCCTTGCTTCTCTGAGAGTCCCGTGTGGAAGGTGGTGCTTAAATCTAAGCAGAGCAAGGGATCAGGACCCAGGGACTTTGGGATTGTCCCTTGCGTTCACCCATTGCACAGAATTGAAACTTCAGAGCTGTCATTTGTCACCTTTGGAGTTCTGGTGATGTTCACACACCTGTTCACAGTCCACAAACCACCTTGGAAGTCCATGGAACACCCAGTTGAGAATCCCTGGTTGCAACCCACAGAAACCAGACACGGTGAATTTCTGCAGTCTCAGCTACTTGGGAGGCTGAGGCAGGGGGATCACTTGAGCCAAGGAATTTGAGACCAACCTGGGCAATGTGGGGAGATCCTGTATGAACAAACAATAAGAAAACTCATGCAGCACCCTCTTGAGGAGCTAAGTGGGGGCTTATGGGGCAGCTTTCTCCAGGAGCCTCTTGGTGGGGGGAAGGAGGGCTGTTCATATAGCCACATCCTTGAAGGAAGGCCAAGAAGGAGGGAGGACTTGGGGCTGGCAGCAAGAGGCTGCTAGATGGCATGGATGCCCACCAAATCAAGAAGGGCAAGGGATGGCCGTCAGACACATGGCTTGTCACTCTGGGAGGCTGAAGCAGGAAGATCACAAGTTTGAGCTCAGGCTGGACAACTTCACAAGATCCTATCTCCAAAAATAAAAGGCCAGGGGCTATAGCCCACTGCAAAGGCCCTGGGTTCAATCCCTGGTTCCAGGAGGAAGAAGAAAAAAAAAAAGGAAAAAAGAACAACATGGCTCAGGCAGACACAGGTCTGGAACCCGCCAGCTCTGCCACTTCTAGCTCTGCGCCTGGGCAAGTCCTGCCCTCTGCCTCGGAGGTCTTAACCTGTGAGCAGAGATGATAGCGTTTACCCCGCAGGATCGTTGGACGGGCTCGGTGAGGTAGAGGTAGTGTTTCTCTATCCCCTGGCAAGTGTCCGCTACAGTCCTAGCTATGTTATTTAACCGGGGATACTAACACCAATTTCCAAAGGCTCAGGGACTGAACCCTCAGGACTAGCGCATGGTAGCAGCTCAAAAGACAAACACAACGTGGCCATTGTGACTGAGTCACATTGTACCCTTTTCAAAGCACTTTCTAATCACTCCGGCCAGGTGAGGCAGCCCCTGGATCTTAGACTTGCAGAGTGGCTGGAGGAGGCAGACAGCCTCCAGAGGGTCTGGTCACACCCGGGCCCACCCCAGCAGCACTGTGCCAGAGCAAAAGGCCGAGGATGCGGACAGAACCATGAGCTCATCGCCCCATTTTATGGATAAGGAAACTGAGGCCCGGGGAGGAGAACTCAGTGACGGCTGATTATGTCCAGGCAGCTTACTAAGGACTTCAGTGCCGTAGCTCATTTAATTCTCTACAGTCCATGAAGGTGGGGCTCCTAATATTACTGCCATCCCCATCTGCCAGATGAGGAACCTGAAGCCCAGAGAGGAGAGACGGCTTTCTCAAGGCCACACAGCTCTAGGGGGGTGGGGCCAGGCTTTGAATCAGTCAATACCGAGCCATGTGCTCAGTTGCACCATGGTGATGGGCTTTCTTTTGCTGCTTTATTTTCGTGCCGTGTCACCCAGCTGATCTTGAATTCCTGAGTTTAAGCAATGCCTCTGCCTCAGCCTCTTGTGTAGTCGGGACTAGGGGTGGCAGTCAGCAAAGCCAAGTTTTGATGTGTCCGTGATTTCTCAGAACCCTAGGAGGTATGTACAGTTATCCCCCTACTTAAGGAAACAGGCTCAAAGGGGTGATGTCACTTGCCCAAAGCCACGGGGGTCCCCTGGGTTGGCGATGCTAGTTATCATGGCATCATAGACTTTTGGCAGCTTGGAGCTCTCCTGGCAGAGCATTGAAAACCTCCCCTGAGCTTGTCTGTAATCCTAGCACATGTCTATAATCCCAGCACTCAGGAGGCTGAGGCAGGAGGATTGCAAAGACTTGGAGGCCAGCCTGAGCTACATAGTTCAAGACCAGCCTGAACTATATCTTGAGACCCTCTCTCTCTCTTTCTCCCCCATATATATATTAAAATAAAATAAAGCCTTCTCCCCACAGCCGAGCCTGAGATAGCATGCATTCCCTACAATATCCCTTCACGTAAACGTTGACATCCCTGTGTCACAAATCCGGAATCTGAGGCACAGAGAAATGGCAGTTGGCTGGTGCCCCGTGGATTCCGGAGGCCCAGCTGGGGATCGACCTTGGATCTGTCTGCCTCAAGCAAGTCCTTACCTTGGCCTTCAGATTCCCGCGCAGTGGCCACTTAGGACAGCCAGTGGCGAGGGCCAGCTGACAGTTAAGTGGGGCAGGCTGCCTCTGCAGGGCACAGGGGCGTGAGCTCTAAACGATGGAGGCCCTGCTTGCCCCAGCTAGAAATGGCCACTCTGAGGAAAGACAAGAAGCAGGTGCCAGGTCAGGTGGCACAGAGGGCAAAGGTACCCAGTCCTTGGCACATTCAGCTGACTCAGCACCCAGGGGTGCAAGGTGAAACCCTCTTCCCTCACCCCCGCCACCCCACAGAAACAGCTCCCAGGGCTGCTCCCGAGGTACGGGTCCTCCAGCCTTCACCACTGGCCATCTGCGATGCCCACGTCCCTCTCCAGCTAGCAGGTGCCTTTATTTACGATCACCTTGGGAGGGTCGAGCAGACATATGTTGCTAAGGGTCGTTTATTCTTGTTTATAAAATTTATGGCTTTACCTAGATTACACACTGTCAAAATGGGAAGGATTGGCCCCAAAGCCTCTTGCCGCCTGACTGCCTCAGACGTGCATACATCTGTTAACTCCATAGGAGCTGTAGAGGAAAATAAGGTTCACTATAACTCAGAAGCTTGCTGTCCCACCATGAGGTGTGAGCCGCGGACCTTGAGCGAAGACAGCCAGCAAACACGTGGTGAGGGAGGAGGCTGGGGCTGCGGGTGGCCTTGCCAGGTGGCCTCGGGACTCTGCCGGAGCTGGGCCATGGACTCTTTCCAGGTGCTCAGAGCTGGGGAGGAGAGAGAAGGAGCTTTTATTTCCGTGGCGCTCAGGGCTCCAGCTGCAGGACCCAGCAGCTGGAGAGGGCTCTGAGCCCGTGGCTCTCCAGCTGGCGACTTGGGCGGGGAGAGATCCGTGACAGCGCCACTGCGGAGGGCGGTGGAGACAGCATGAATTTCGGGAGGGCAGTTTGGCAAGGAGAATGAAAAGGCCTAGAAGTGGTCTGGCGATTCCATGTCTGAGAATCCCTCAGAAGGAAACAGACACACCAGTGGGGCTGTAAGAGATTTTTTCATTGCAGTGTTGCTCCTTAGGGAAAGTTTGGAAATCAGTGTCCAAAGATGAGCTGGAAAATTAAATAAGTAAAATGCCTCACCATAAGGGACTTCAAGAAATAATCATAAACCACAGAAAAGGATGGCACCCACCTACCTATCACTGTGGGAAAGTGGTCATTAGCTACTAAGTGAAAAAAAAAAAAAGTCAAATGGCAAAATGCTGCATAGAGAATAATCCAAATCCTGTACAAGAAATATACGTTGTGTTTATATCACAGAAAAATTGCAAGGGTTCATTCCATATGTTAATGCCTCTCGGTGGTGCAGTTATGGGTGGTTTTAGTGTTCATTTCTACATATGTGGATTTCTCTAATTTTTCTACAATGAATTGGGTTGGAGTTGAGAAGGGGCTTACGGGTGTAATAGACACAGGTGAAAAAGAGGGAAGCTGGTAACTGGTTCCCTGCATGCGACAAATCATCTTCCTCCTGGGGAGACATGGAGAACACCCCCTTGGCTGACATCCCCAACCCCCTGCTGCACCATGGGGTTTGCCCTCCAGTAGCCAAAGCCACCGCCCCTCCAGAGTCCGGAGGCTGGGCGATGGGGATGCACTCATTCTGGGGGAGACAGCTGCTTGCTGTGCTCTAGCCTCTCACAGGTGCTTGAATTCCACTCTAGGGCAACAGGGGAAAGAAGAAAAAGGATCCCCACCCACTGAGACATCCTCGTCAGCTTCCCACCAGACTGCTGGGGAAAGATGGTGGTGTCCCTCTCGCTGCTCCCTTGGTGACTGCATCTGTCAATGTCTACAGGGTGTGAGAGCAGACAAAGAACTCTCTGATTTATTCAGACTTTGATCCTGGATTATCATCCTACATTTCTCTGAGCCAAGTGGCACCTGACAGGCTGAGCACCAAGCTCAATGTGGTACACTCGGCAAGTGGTGAAATCAGCATTGTGAGGCATTTTACTTATTTAATTTTCCAGCTCATCTTTGGACACTGATTTCAATCTCCAGCCTTCTGTATCAAAATCCAGCTTCCTTTCTCTTCTCTTCTGCTGAGCCCAAGGAAGGGCTTGTCCCAGGAAGGGGAAAGAGATAACAGTTCTAACTGGAAGCAGCCAAGACTGGGTCTAGATTCAACAGAAAAGAGCCTGGTAATCCATTAGTAATGTCTGCCATGGCCACAGAAGGAGGCAGTTAACAGGCAATGTGCTTTTGACACTTCTGCATTCCTTATCTTTTTTATTGTTTGGTACTGGGGCTTGAACTTGTGACCTTGTGCTTGCAAGGCAGCCAGCTACACCACTGAGCTAAATCCTCAGCCCCATTTCTGCATTCCTAAGGCAAAAGCCCTCGCTGGCCTCAAAAACATGGAGACTTCAGAGGGAGATGGGGGTCTCTAGATTGCCCTCCAAACCAGACCCTAAAGATGGTTTTTCTACCCCAGAGCTCCCCAAGAGAACTAACTCGCAGAAGAGAAATTCCTTAGAGCTTTGAGGTGACATCTCAGGGCCATAGATCTCTGGGAGCCAAATACTTATAAATCTGACTAA